AATGGTACCTCAAATAATCACCGTCCAAGCCAGCAACTATTACAGTCTTGCCATCACGATCAGAAGCTTTGCAGCAGAAATTATGCAAATCTCCGAAAAACTGAGCTTCATCAATACCAATCACTTGTAACTGTCATAAAGCCGGGGGAAAATATAAGCACATGCATGGCGTAGACCCACATGAGCATAACAGTTGAGTAGAAAATAAATGAATCACAGTCGAGATCAATACCTTAGCATACTCTTCAGCACCCAGCTGTTCTTGGAATGACGACAAATCTGCTAATGGTAAGCAGGGAAGCTTTTCAACATCGTGCGTCACAATAGAGTCCAACCCGTACCTAGCATCCTTGTTTGATTTTATTATTGCCACACTTCTGCAAAATCATAAGTTGTTATTGATCGATTTCAAAAATTCAAAGCAAAGAGAACAATGAAGTTTTCAACTTCCAGATAGAGGGGGTAGAGAAGATGAATGTCCATTCAAGCCAAATCAAACATGCTCGTCAAAGCTGGCAAATTTGAAATACAAGTCAACAATCTGAACTCAAGGCTTAAAGTGATAACCGGCATATATCTCATAAAAACAATCACAAACTACTTAATTCATATGCTAATCCAAGCTAACGATCATTCAACATTTATAAAAAATGAAGCATCTGGTTGTCTAGAAATGATCAAACATGTGCCATTAACAGGAACACCTCACTGCAGCTTCATAACTGCTTTCAAATAATAGTTCGTCAATTGATAAAATAGTGTCAAAACTGCTTAATTGCATAATATAATGGTGGGTGGAATCACCACATAGAACAAACAACTTTAATCCAAATCGATGCTCAAGTCCGGAGCATCATCAACATCTTTCAATGCAACAGTCGTGAAGTCCCTAATCCACTCGTGTATTAGATCAGTTTGTTCATGAGTGTTATGTCTTCAAAGGAAAAATGGACCTTTATTTGTACCTCTATCAGTTTGTTCATGAATGTTATGCCCTATAAAAGAATGTCGGATGAATCAAAATCCCCTGATTTTGCAAACAAGACCAAAAGCTTTTAACTTCAGTTACTCACTGGGAAAAAATACGGTAACCAATTACATTTGACAGTGAAATTCTTCTGACAGTTTTGTAATGCATTCTTAAAATCCTTTAACGTTTAGTGCACACCCAATATTCCAACAGCTTCGTTAGTTCTCCCTATGAAACAAGATCCTTTAACGTTTGGTCCAGGTGGTAGGAGTTCTTCACTGGGTAGCCCCGAAATCTGGGAAAGTCTCAATCCTTATAATATAAAACTCGTAATTGCATCCAACTCTTGCAGCTAAGGACATAGATGTCCAACTTATGCCCACCTGCAAGTTAAAGATAGAATGTCCATGTGCAAACTATAATGCTAGCACTCTCAAGATCCAACATCAATCAAAATCGATATCTTTGTGCAGAAGCAATTTATATACTACGTAAATATTAAATATAATATGACTTCTAAACGTGGGCAGTATGATTATAATGATCAGAGTTATCACACTTGACTAATCAAGACATTTCATAAAAAATACTGCATTAATAATCACTAACTAACAAGCCCAAAA